AGCACTACTCCCATTATGTATCTTCGTAATCTCTAATAAAGAGAGTGTTTAATATGAAATCCGAGCGAGAATAATACTGAAAAAAGTTAGCGTTGGTATCGGTATAAGATCTTTATTCAATATAATCATGTAATACAAACGCACTTTTTTCATAATTGTTCTGATTTCTCAGATCGACAACCTTTACGTTCATTTTGAGCAATATGTCGTTCCAGATTGATACAAGTTTTATTTTGTATATCCTTACCAAATAATTTCCACATGACAAATTCGATGTTAAACTGAATCGTTCTGGATCATGAGATCAAGAATAAATGTTCAAATCTAACCAAATTGAATAATTATTTAACGTGATCGCAGTTCTTAGTCAAGGCAGGCATAACCAAAAAAGGATACACTTCGTTTCACTACGCTCCTGGTATAACTGAGCATTATCAAATAAACAATATTTTTAATATTCACCATATTAAGTTTAATTTTATATAACACTATCAAAATTTAAACTTTGTAAAATTAAGAATCAAATCACTATGATTTCTATTATATTAAAAAACGATACGATCTAATTGCATATGCACATAATTATTACACACTGATTGGCCAAAATCATAAATCTTTAATAACTTGATTACAATAATGTTGTATGAGAAATAATCTACTAACGCAACAATAGACTATTGCTTAAATATGAGGTAAAAATTGATAGCATAAATACTAATGATGATAATAATAAAATAAGCATATTAAAAATTTCCAATAACATTGGTTCATATAACAGTTTTACAGTATAAAGATATTTATGGGTGCATACACAAGCATAGAAGGGTGTGTTTCTAGCCCAAGACATCTATCTACAATTTTTCTTGAGCACCCATCATAAAAACGGGTTTATACTTGTCAGGAATTTGAATTCCTTTACCAACATATTGCTCAAGATTCGAATATATAGAATATCGAAATGGTATTTCTTTTGGTGCTGAAACAGTATCTAGCCTTGCCATTTGTTCAGGTGTCAATCTATTTATTTATTTAAATCATTGATATAAATAATAAATAAATGATCAATTTAATACAATGATAACGGAAGTTTATAAAAGTTTACTTGAATTCAAGAGCTCCAAGATTTTCAACTAATTTAGCTTTTGTTCTAGCACCGATAATAGGAGAAGTAATACCAGTTTTTTGTGAGATCCAATTCAATGCGACCTTTTTAATTTAAAAAAAAATAAATAAATAAATAAGCAAAAAAAATGTTAGTGATTATAGACAATTTAAGTCATAAAATTACTTGAACAGGAGTTCTCCTGGTTTCAGCAGCGATAGCTATAACTTCATCAAGGATTTTCCAATTTTGCTCATTTTCTGCTTTGAGTTAACACGTTGACTTCTAATATTAACAGGCATTTCTAAGTTAGTCACCGATTCTCTTGTGTATTTTCCGGTCAAAAAACTAGATAAAAATCATAAAAATGAAAATCATAGTCAGTATAGATCAAAAAAAAAAGGAAAAATTTGAAGACGATTACCCTTCGGCGATACATCCCCAAGGAATAATTCCAACCTTTATGATAAAATTAACAAGTTAGTTATGATACATACATAATATTTGAAATCATATTTGAGTAAAATGATAACAAATATTTAAACATATTTACGTACATCAAGTTCAGCACAGGCAGTTTGCAATTCATATTCCAAAGATCGATTTAATAAATTATATGTCGTTTGCAATCCAATAAATTGACTTATAATTAAAAAAGTTTTTTTGTCACTTTTCATCGAAAATAAGTAATAATACAACATTGAATGTATGGTATTACCTCCAACCACGTAGCTCAGCCATCGTATTCGCACAACTAACCACCCATGCTGGTGCATCGCTAATCGCGATATAAAGCACCTTTAAAAATTCGTATTAAATGTTAATTTTAAATATTAAATATTAATTATACAAATTAACATACTAATTAACATACTAATTAACAGATATTAAATAACCTACCTTGCCACTTCTAACAACATCATCTAAAGAACGCATTACTTCCTCAATAGGAGTACGAAATTCCCAAGCATGAACATACATGAGATCAATATATCCAGTTCCCAATCGTTTAATACTTTCATCGAGGTTTTCTACAAGAGATTTGCGGTGATTTCCACCTTTAAATAAACAATGTTCAAGACTTATATCAACACATACAATCTCATAAAATATAATCCCATAAAATGAATAATAAACTTACCAGCATTTGGGTTATATTTGACATTTGGCATTAAAACAGTAGAATTTTCTTTATAAATTTACAGAAAGGTAAATATATGACATAAAAAATTTTTTTAGTGAAACAAATAATCAAATTTAACATACCAGTATATTTTGTGGCGATTACAACTTGAGAACATTTATCAGCGATATATTCTCCAAGAAATTGCTCGCTCTTTTCGCTATACTAGAAAATGTTTATGATCATATTATAATCAATATTCCGTCATTACCTCGCCAAAATTGTATGCATTAGCAGTATCTAAAATAACAAACATCCTGTGAGTTCAACATTGTTATATTGTTATATAACGCATCACATACGCTAAAATTAAGGGCTAATTGGTACTGCAATAATTGTAAGTCGACTTTGTGAATATTTGTAAAAAACTACGTTTTTTGCTAGTTGTTAGTCAATAAAGATTTTGGAACAGTAATTATCCTTTAATAAATATCAATAATTTTTAATAAATTAATGCAAAGACTAAAAAATTTATTAAATATATAATTTTTATAACATTTTTTATTGGTCGAAAGCTACTTAAATATCTTAATGCACAGTAACTGCATAGTGACTATGTACTGTACAGTAGTTACTATTAAATTTAATAATCACTGTATAGTTACTACATAGTTACTATGTAGTTACTGCGCATTAAGACATTCATGATTTTGTATAGTAGTAAGGTTCAAACTTGAAAAATCAACAATTGTTGCAGACCTATTTATGCATATATAAATATACCGAAGAAATTTCCTCCTTTTTCATAATAATAGTCGAAAACCTTCTTAGATTCCTCATAATTCGAACCTACTCCCTATTCAAAGTCATAAAATATTTGTAAGCACATATAGCTTTCATGCCGAGAGAGCACAGAATAATATATCAAAGAAATTTTTCGACAAAAGTCTTTAATTGAAGCAGTTAAAAAAATTTAGTTTAAAAAGACTAATAATGACGATGTCAGAAATTAAAAATTATACCAATGCGCCAAGACAGAGGAGAAATCCTTAAACCACTACGTCCTAGAAGAACATAATCGTCGAGAGCTCCAATGGTTTCTTTAATATTAGTTGAGTCTTGAGCCATTTTGTATTTTTTTTTACTTTTCTCGCGTAACTAAAAATCTCACATAACTAGAAGGATTATTGGCTTAATTTATAAAATTTATGAATTCTTACGTACATATATACGTACGTTAGTACTTTTATGCGTATGTTCGTATGTACTTGTATACGTACGTTCGTACGTACTTGCATACGTAGTTCCTACGTACATACTTGTATACGAACATTCATACGCACGAACGTACGTACTGTACGTATATACGTAAGTTCGTACGTACGTATATACGTAAGTTCATACGTACGTACGTACGTACCTTCTTGGCGTCAGCATGTACTACTAATTTAGCAATTGTAACACGTTGGTTTATATGCACCGATCGTTCTGTATTTAGTAATGCCCATCGCCGCTTGTATTCTCCTATTACAGTTAATTAAAGTTAATACCCGTGAGAGAACAAATTTCTTTTTAAAAAACCCAAAAAGTTTACCATGGCTCAAACGGTATTACTAAATCGTGTTTAACACCACATCAATTTTAACCAATAAAATTGTTGATCTGCAGTGTAACATCAGATCAGGTGTAACATAAAATAAAAACAAACTTTGTTGTTTTTTAAAAAAATCTTTAATAACTCAAAATTTTACTTATGAAACCACTTAAAAAAATTTCTTGCTAAATTTTGGTATAAGCTATGTTTTTGCTAGTGATGGTACCCGATCGAAAAAATGCTACCCAGTTATCTGATGGGTATACCCGGCAGGTTACCCAGGTGATCAACAGATATATCCTCATAGGCTGACATTCATATGATTGGCTGATCTATTCAATTGTCCGGGTAACTAATTTATATGCTTTAAAGTACTTTTTAGGAATTTGACGTTTTACTAATAAAAAAAAAATTTTTTAATCGTACATAGCTTTGAAAAGACGCTAACAACTACTTTGCAAAGTAATCAAGAGATAATCAGTATCCTTGGCAAGTTTTATTAGAAAAGAAAAATATGCCTCCAACTACTACTCTTATTGGTCTATGCGTTATTACTATTTGTCAGGGACAGTCGACCCAGTGGAGAAGCATAACTGAAAACTTTCTCTCTAAAGCCCAAGCTAATAATACTTTGCCAAGTAATGTTCGTCTAGGCAATACTGTTTGTTTGGCCTGTTATAACGAAATTGTAGTAAACTGTTCACCTGAATTCAAGTGACATTCACAGGCTATTATGGAAGAGGATAAGTTTGATGAAGTAGTTGAGATTGAAGACGAAATTACTAATCCTATTTTATCATTTTCTCAAGTAATAGCAGTACTAACAAAATTTTATATGCTCGTGAAAAAGAAAAAAAATCAGTAGTATACATGTTTGACGAATTTAGAGAAATCATGAAGAAGGAGGACGTAAGATTAAAGCTTTTTTTTGATAAATTGTATTTGTCGTCTAACCCATCATCAAAAAATAATGATTCACAGGAACAGGCCAAAAAGCAGCTTCTGTTTGCTTGTTACTTTCTCTGTGGAATCCGTAACAAGTTTGTGAATTATATAAAAAGAGATATTGCAATGTATATAGATTTCGCTGATACTTCTAATGCATCCATAGATACTCTTTCTGATTTAGGTGTTACCACAACATCTTGTACTATCCAGCGATATAAGGCAGCTATATATGAAGAACATGAGGAAGTGTCAATTCTGCACTTGCTAAATATGCAGAGAATGCAATGGTATTAAACATCGATGACTACTATAGTATTCATACGGAGCATATACCAGATACTACTACTACATCAACTGCTGCACACTTAGCAATGATTTTAGTGAATCCTATCATGACTCAATGTGTGATTCCAAAGTTGAATATCCATAACCCTCTTCTAGTCAATGCTGAATTAATTAAAACAAATATCGAAAAAAGATTTATGAGGCTTTATAGTCTTTCACATAATTGATGCTAGAAATTTCATATAGTTGACGATGATGCTAGATTAGAAGAATTGACTATACATAGCTATGACATTAGGCTAAAAGAAAAATGAAGTTCTTGTTCAATGAAGGATACCATTCTTATTGACTTGCAAAAAAATGATCTTTATACTATAGATGCATATATCAAGGCTATTAATGCGATCGTAAATATTCTGTCGATACAGCAGTATATTCAGGGGAGGCATATGATTCCTGTTGTCGCTGATTGGCCTGGGCAGATTTATCTTTGAACAGCAATTTCACATTTTATATATCATCAAAATTTATCAAATATTACTGATCAAATATTGTCTTTTCTTTCTATTATAGGTCCTCTTCATATTTCACTCAACAGTCAAGAATTGGTGTTTTTTCAGTATCGACCATTTTTTTTAGCCATATACAAATATATCTTTGGAGAAAAAAAACCTCTTGCGTAAACTCCCAAACCATGGCATATAAATCTAATTTTAAAAATATCTCACAGCGCTTGGCAGACAATTGCAGCAAATGTTGAAGCCAAATTTGGTTCTTTGTACAAAGATGCTGAGTATCTTGCACTTAAAGATCTACTTGATAATATGATTCTTTTAGTTCTTGATATATACACTGTGTTTTTCTGATCTGGTAATTTTGATATTTATTTAGAATTTTGCTTTCATACTTGGACCATTTTTTTAAAATTTAGTTGCAAGAATTATACAAAAGCGCCGTTAATATTTCTTTCAGATATCTTCTACTGGGAGTTGAATAATCACCCGATTTTAGATATTATTAAAGCAGAACTTCCAAAATTTTTGGATTCCACTGTAGAGATATTTCACAGTTTTCTATGCAAAAGCATACGGAAGAACAAAATATAATTAAATATAGATGCTGTATTAATCACTTGCGTCTAGATGATAATGGATTTAGAGAAAACTTTGCATACACATCGATGTGGGCAGCTTATGAGTATTCTGCACATGATATTTCAGCATTAACAAACAAATGCGCTTGTTTTCTTTTACAGTGTTTTTTAAAAATCTACGTTCATTTATTTCATGGTAAATCACCACTAATCCTTCTATTACAGGCTATAGTGAATTCGCCTTTAACCAAAAAGCAAAAAATTGACAATACTACTGTTCTATTACCCATGATGCATATGCTAGAAGCACACTTTGTCATCTTCCTTTGGGTTTTAATACTTCACATATGCCCAATTTGCTTTATTATTGTGATGCATCTAATTGTTCTATTTTTCTATTTATTAAAACAGATTCAGTTGTTCTATCTTGCGGCCATGGTTATCATAAGTCTTGCTATACTAACAATGGATTTATATATGTATATTGTCTCTCATTTTTGAAAGATGGTGTTGATAGACACGTTCACTCTCTATTAGAAAGCCTTCAATCTCTTGAAGAAAAAAAAAAAAAAAAAAAAAAAAAAGGAAACACGAGTTAAAGGAATTTCTTGTGACAATAATGATGAATTTAAGAAAATAAAATATAAGCATTTGAATTAGAGGAGGCATTGTAAAAATTTCAATAGCAATAATTGTAGTTTTATAATTTCAAATTTATTATAATTTTTATTTTGTTTATATTTTATTTAATAAAATAAATTCTCCTATTACATATTGAATTTTTTATTATTTTTTTTTACAATGGCTGAGTGCCTTTTATTTCAGTAACTAAAAAATTTTATTATTCTTTTTGATCCCAATTCTGTTTAATAGTAATATCCAAGTCATCTATTCGCTCTTTTTCATTTTAATAATATCCATAGCTGTCTTTCAGATTATAATTGCTATTTTAGTATTTGCATATATAGGTTAAAGACATCAAAAGATAAGAAAAATTACCATTTTTACACGGCTCTTGAATTATAATATATATAATTAATGATGTGTCGCTCATTAAAAAAAAATATTAATTAACTAAATATACATATACTTTAAAATTATGTATTTTGATTAGTTAATTATTACAGAAAATCACAGGTAGATCTACAAAATTAACTAATCAAATAAATGTCATCCTATGAGATATATCTGGGTATAAAATCCTACCTAATATACCCGGGTAAGATTAATTAAATACTTTTACTTTACTAGATAGCTGCTAGATTAAATGTAAGAATTTGTGTCTAACCGATTACTTTATTCTTTTCTGATTACTTTTAATCAGTCAATGTGTTTATTTATGCTAATTTTTTTTATCGATATACGATATATCTGTCAAGTAATTATCTAAAAAAAAAAAATTAATATTTAATCAAAATATAAAGACATACAAAAATTACTCGAGTTGAAACCTGACTTGTTGAATCTACAAATTTCAGCACCATCTATTTTAATATTATTAATACAGCTAAATAATGCTTCATATTGTTAACCAAAATTTTTCAAATCATTAACACTAAAATTATGATGTTTATGTCGTAACTGAAGTTGGGATCTGCCTGAATTTGGAACTTCAGTTGGCACCTGCCTAAAACAGCTAACTAATGCGTGTAGGATAATCTAATTTCAGAGGCTAATTTCAGTCAGGTGCAACTTCAGTTAACAGAAGTTCCAACTTCAGGCAGATCTTAATATTGACATAATTTTGGTGTAGTCATATTTGCGTAAAAATTGTACTAGGCCTTCAATAGATCTTTTTTTTTTAAACATTATCAGTCACACCACTTTAATACTGGTCTAACAAATCAATAATAGAAATTTGAATATGTTTCTGATAATCAACAACAATGAGTTCTATATGATCATCTCACATTAGTATGAATTCCATATACAAATAATTTTTTTTTGAACATTATCAGTCACACCACTCTAATACCGCTCTAATATAGATCATTTTTGATTGTTTGATTAATAACAATGTATTCTATATGATTATCTCATTTAGTGTAAATACCATGTTGATCAACAACAATAAGTTTTATATAATTATCTTGCATTAGACCTAAAGATTTACAAATTTAGCGTGAATACCATGTACAAATAATTTTTTTAAAGTTATAATTATGTCTATGATAAATATATAAACTCAGGTCTATCTAGAGCTATCGT